TGGCACCTTGAATCACCATCACTTTCGTTTCATTAATATTGTTGAGGGTTGTTTGTTCGTTCATCTCCTGCAACATCTCGTTTATTTCGTAAGCACTATCGCATAATATATCAAATAATGATTAGTGGTTTTTGTTAAAAATAGATTAAAGATCAACTGTGTTACTATGGCGCAGTATCCCTGTCCCTGGTTCCACTTTAATCATCCTACCCTCACTGAACTTTCGATCTTTGTCCCCTGGGGTATAAAAGCACCTCTCCCTATCGCCGGGATCACCACTACCGATCACCAACTGCGATTCACTTATATATAACTATTATTTCTATTCGGGGGAGCTTCGGCTACCCAGAGCCTCACCTCCTTTTATGCATTATTCTTTTACTTTATTATGCATGATAAACATGTATATAGGGCGCGGCGTGTTACACACACATACGTACACATATACAAACGGGGCACACACTAGTCTAACAATCTAACTATCAGCACTGCTTGCAATAAGAGCTTTGTCATCTGCGCAATTAATTTGGCTGTTCAAAAATAGTATTTCGGGGTATATTTTTCGCTACAACTTTCGCTTTTTTTTGAGGCAAGCCATGAAAAGTTTGCTTTTCATCTTTCTTGATTAGTTCACATATTGTAAAGAGGAAAAGGGAGTGCTGAGTGTATCACGAGGCTTTTTTTTGCAAAAATTTTTTTTGCAGTATTACTTATTGTGCTGCTCAGCTTTTTGGACTTTATGATACAAAATTCTGTTTTACTTTTTATCAGTCCTTACTACAAATCCTTATATATTCTTTTATATATCCTTTTTATATCCTTTCCTTTCAACAAATCCTTATATATCCTTGATTTGTGGGCTGAAGCATAAAATTTGACAATTGCGCCGAATTTGATGCTTTTTTCGCGCTTCTTAAAAACTATACATTTTCAGGGTTGTATCGATTTTCTCAAATATGCTTATAGTGACGTGTTTGGTTTTACTTTCAAGCTGAACTTGAGCACTCGACCAGAAGAAGGCTATTTGGGCGATATCGAAACATGGTAAGTTATTTTAAGCTATTTGCACTGGGTGTTGATTTAAAACAAAATTTTCGATTTTGCGCTTATTTATTCCATGTTTTATTGGGAAGCACTTTTTTTTTTTCAAGGAATTTTGCGGAAGAGAAACTGAAAGAAGCTCTGGACGCATCTGGACATTCATGGGAACTCAATCCTGGCGATGGAGCATTTTATGGTCCAAAAGTTAGTTTTATTCAAAATTTTTTGAGAATTCAAAGGCATCACATGTACGCAGTTGATCACAAGTTTTCTTGTTTTGTTTCAGATCGACATCACCATTCAGGATGCGCTTCGACGATTCCACCAATGTGCTACAATACAGCTTGATTTTCAGTTGCCACAACGATTTGATCTGACCTATTTCGAGTCAGTACCTCGATTCTGTTTTTGTAATTTTTTTTGCTTTAATAGTGTTTAGAAAAGAACTTTTCACGGGGAACCCGTGGGATGAACGCGACGATAAAACAGCAGTTAATGAAATCCTATGTATGCGTGGGAAGGGAGAGGCAAAATGTAACTAAATATAACTGATATAACTAATAAAAATTAAGTTTACACCAATTACTACAGTCGTCGTACTGACAAGATCCAATTGTGGTAATGGTAAGAAATGTATACGACTTGATGGATCGAAAAATTTCTTGCCAATATATTTTTTATTAAAACATTTTACTACTTCTACTAATTTCTTAATATTATTTGCTTTTATCTTCTTCTTTCAACTTTAAAACATTTTCCTATTACATCAGTTGTCTAAGTATCCAAAACCTAGTACCAAAAAGACGGGCAGATGAGGGGCAGAGGGAAGAAGATAAGAAAAATAAGTTGCGTAGAAGATGTCAAAATTACGGTGCTCTCTCGCATTCCTGGAGCTAATTATCCATTGTATAATTGAACTAGTATAGGGGAGATATTCGTTTGTGTGCGTGTGTGTGTTTGTATGTGTGTGTATGTGTATGTGTATGTGTATGTGTGTGTGTGTGTGTGTGTGTGTGTGCCGGGCCGGGCCG